TTTTACTGCCTTTTTTTTTTCTTGTAGATTCATGCTTCGCTAGAGTATTGAAATAGTGTCAAGAATAGAGATTCAGAAACTAAAACTAGTACAAAAAGATAAATACTAGTTTTTTGTTTGTTATTTCAGTTATTTTTTCATTTTACTGCTATTTTTTTTCTTGTGGTTGTGCTTTGCTAGTGTACTGAAATAGCATTAAAAATAGAAATTTGTTTACTAGAATACTAGAATGATACCGAGAATAGAAATTCAGAAACTAAAACAAAAAGATAAGTACTAGTTTCTTGTTTGTTTTTCTTTTGGTTTTTTAGCTATTTTTTCAGTTACTGCCTTTTTTTTTTTGTAGATTCATATTTTGCTAGAGTATTAGAATAGTGCCAGAAATGAAGATTCAAGAACTGAAACTAGTACAAAAAAGTAAGTACTAGTTTCTTGTTTGTTGTTCTTTTGTTTTTCAGTTATTTTTTTAGGTTACTACCCTTTTTTTTTTATAGATTCATGTTTTGCTAGAATATTGGAATAGTGCTAGGAATAAAGATTTTGGATTCAGAACTAGTACAAAAAAGTAAGTATAGTTTTTTATTTGTTTGTTTTTTTTGTTTTTTTTAGCTATTTTTTGTTTTACTACTTTTTTTTTGTAGATTCATATTTTATTGGAGTATTGGAATGATATTGGAAATAAAGATTCAGAAACTTTCATTTTTTATTTAATTTATGTTTTGCTATACTAAGAATAGTTTTTTTTCTTTTTATAATAATTATATAATTAGTTGCTATAACACTTTTTTATATAGTAAATAAAAGTTTTTTGAATTGAGTTATAATATAGTAATAAAAAAAACTTAAAAAATTTTATATTATTAAAATTTTGTAATTTGATTAATACAGATAAATAAGTTGGTGGTTCAATTGGTTGACAAATCAAAGGTTTAATAAAAATCTGTACAGATTTAATATATTTCTAAAATTTGTACAAAATTTGTTAAAAATTTTTTTTTAAAAATAGGTATAAAGTTGCAGATTTTTACAAATTTTTGATTATTATTGAGTTTTAAAAATCTGTGCAGATTTGTACCTAAAAAATTCTTCCAATGTAGGTTTTAGAGCTAAGTCTTAAACTGAATCTAAGTTAACAAAGTTCTAAAACTGAATTTATAAAGACTTGGTCTATAAGTTTATACAGTAAAACCTACAGATTACTATCCCTAATTGTGCTTGCTAAAAGAATTTTAAAACCTTTTATTCTAAACAATACTATTGTAGTGACCAACAGAATATTAAAAATCTATCACTCTTAATGGTATTATCACATTATTTATAAATTTTAGTTATTTTAAAATTTTTATAAAAAGTATTCATGTCATCAAATTATCAAATTATACTAACATGCTATAAAAAAAAATATTCTAATTTTTTCACTTGTTATAATACTCAAAAAAAAATGATTGTAATATTAAGAGAATTTTAAAAACCTTTTATACTCAATAATACAAATGATTATATTAACTAAGATAATGTATTATTGCACCAACCAAATTTTTTCATCATAAATAGTACTATGGTACCAGTATTATTATACTAGCCAAAAAATTTTAACTCTTTCACCCTAAATAGAACTATCGCATAACCAAAAAATTCACTCTAAATAGCTATATCACAACAATTAATAAGAATTTAAAATCTTTATTTAAATGTTGAAAAAAATAAATAAAAATAACACTTTTGCTGATATAACTTTAAACCCAGATCTTATAAGCACCTTTATCATTATTACTATTTAGTAAGGGGAGCACTATTTATCAGGTAATTAGGGTTTACTAAGTAGATTACCCCCCCTACCCCCTATCTAACAATAAATCTAGAATTTTAATTGGCTAAAAAAATAAAATTTTATATTTATTATATATAAAAAAAATTGCTATTTTTACTCAAACTTTGACGATGAATATCTCAATAACTATTAATCTAAATTGGCTCAAATTTTTACTATAGATAGTGGCGATATTCTTATATTATATAAAAATTTTAACCGATTTTGTCTAGTAGTTCTCAAGTAATCGCTTGTATACAATAGTTAATTTTTTAAAAATATTAACTATTGTATACAAGTGATTACTTGAGAACTACCAGACCAAATCGATTAAAATTTTTATATATAATATAAGAATATCACCACTATCTATGGTAAAAATTTGAGCCGATTTAGATCAATAGTTATCGAGATATTCATCATCAAAGTTTGAGTAAAAATAGCAAATTTTTTTATATATAATAGATATAAAACTTCATTTTTTTAGCCAATCAAAATTTTAGATTTATTGTCAGGTGGGGGTAGAGGGGGTAACCTACTTCTGTACTTAGTAAACCCTAATCACCTGATAAATGACGCTCCCCTTACAGAATTATGCATTTAAGTATAAATGGGTGTTTAAATTATTTTTGGCATGCCAATTGCTGAAAATATTTTAGATAGCCTAAACTGTAAAGTGCCGATCAAAATTTTGACAAACAGAATCCTGACAGGTTATAATCTCAACAAAAAAATCTTGATAGTAAAAATTCTAACAAATACTGACAAGTTTATTTAAGAATTAGGGTGTACACCTAGGTTAGGGTTAGGCTATAGGTGCTTTTATTTAATTGTCAAGATTTTTTGTCAGGATTATTACCTGTTAGGATTTTGTTTGTCAGGATATTGATCCAAATTCTGATTATGGCTACCAAAAACATTTTTGGCTGCTGTAAATAATTATAGTAGCTAAAATAATTACAACAATTACAGCAGCCAAAAATAATTTTAGCATTTTGAAATGATATGGGATCTTTGCTAGGAAAATCGCCCTTTGGGGTTTTCCGATCAGGCTAATTCAGAAAAGCTTAGACCAGAATGCCAGTTCTTATTCATATGTAATTCATGTTTTGCTTTATTTATTTGATAGTTTATTAAATAAACTGTCGAATCAGTAAAGTAAAAAGACAGTTTATATATGAATAGGAACTGACATTCTGGTCTAAACTTTTCTGAATTAGCCCGATCGGAAAATCCCGAAGGGTGATTTTTCTAGCAAAGATCCCATATGATGAAAATATAAAAAATATTAGCATGCTGTTGTTACTATTTGAATTTGGGAGAGCATTAGATAGGATAGTGTCAAGATAGTTCAGAATAGTAAATAAATATATAATAAGATAGGTTATAGACATATTTATAAGAATTCTTTTTATTAAAAGAAGAGTTCAAAGGGTATACAACTTTTACTTTAGCATCAAAAGGGGAACTAATACTTATATGTATGTGTAAATATTATTGAAGAGACATTATATAATTGTTCTCAATAACAAATTAATTGTCAAATAAAGGTAATCATAATACTAATTAATAAGTTACTAAATCTAGAAATTAATACATAGCGTCAATTACCAATTTAGAAAACCTATACTAATATTATGAATTGATAGTAACAGACTTCCCTCCTAAATTTTTAAGCTTATACAAGATTAAAAACCAAATTTTTAATACCAGAGAGTATATAATAGAACTCTTCTAGCCTCAGTACTCAAAGAGTATGTAATTGTATCTTCTCAACTTTAATTAATGAATTTATAATTACAAAAGAAGAAAAATGCAAAATTTCATACAAGAAAAGAAAAAAAATAAGTCTGATTTTTGTACAGGCTCTATTAAAACACCAAGTCCAGGCTCTCTAATATGTATAACTTATAGGCAGGTTCACCCAAACAAAAACAAAAACAAAAAAAAATATAATATTAGAAATATAATAAAGTTCATTTTTGGTTATTAGGTTTCATATTTTTATGCTTAGTTTAAAAATATGCAGGTAAAAATCTAAAGTAAATTGTTATTTTCTACACAATTAGCACTATATATTACTATCCGAATTTGGGAGAGTGTTAGATAGAATAGTGCCAAGATAGTTCAGGGTGGTAAATAAATATATAATAAGATAAGTTATAGACACATTTTATAAAAATTCTTTTTATTAGAAGAAGAGTTTAAAGAGCATACAACTTCTACTCTAGCATCAAGGGAGGGAATTAACATATATACATGTATAAGTATCATTGAAAAAACATCATATGATTGTTCTCAATGACAAATCAATTATCAAATTAAAGTAATCATAATATTAATTAATAAGTTACTAAACCTAGAAATTAATATATAGCATCAATTACCAATTTAGGGAGTCATCTAAAGCAGAGCAGAATCTCGTGATGCTGATAGTGATTGGTCAACATTAAAAAGCGATAATTAGTTAATGAAAATCATCTGATTTTAGATTTTTTTCAAACTTTAAACAAAGATATCTCTGCAACCAACCTAATAAAATTCGATAAAATTTTTTTATTTTGATTCTATGAATCAGTAGAATTGAAATAAAAAAAAATTTATTATAATCTATTATGTGGTTGCTGAATATATTTAAGCCCTAATTTTTTTTGTATAAATTAAAAATAAAACTGCTTGATATATAAGTATTAGGCAGTTTTTGTCTTGAATCAGTTTAGATCAGGCATGTGATATGCTCAATCACATTCACATTGCTTGACTAGATTAATTAGTTAAAGATAGAGTAAGTATGAAGTAATGAGAAAATTAGTATATAGTTAAGTAAGTATAAGATAATTTGTTTATAGTATATATTGGTATTAATTAAGTATGTGGAAAAATAGCTTTGTTTTTTTTGTGAACCCAAATTTTCATTCTGGTTATATCGAGCAGTAAGTTTATTAGTTTATTAGCTTTTTAGTTTATTAGTTAGTTAGCTATTCTTCTCAACGCTATAAATTAGAACAAAGTTAAGTTAGTAACAATTGAGGATAGGTCTTTGTCACCCTCCAACAGTGATGTTGAAGCAACTAGTAAAAATATACCATCTAACAGTGACATTGAGGCAGCTAATAAAGTTGGCTAGTTCAATTTCGAGATTAATTTTGGCTAGTTGTCTATGAAAATTTTGAAGTTTTTGTATAATGAAATGGAAGTGTCTGTGATAGATACAAAACAGAATTTGGTTAATTATTTGGTTAGTGAAGCCAAGAGGAGAAATGAGTTAGTTGGTTCAGAGAATTTAGAAAAAGCAAAAATGGTGGAGTTGGGTACAGATCAAAAGGTGTCTTTTGATAATAAAAGTAGAGCTAATATTGAAGTGAGTTAAGCTTTTGCTAATGGTTTTGGTAATGCTTCATTCAGTAGTAGAAGTTCAAGTTCCAAATTGGGTAATGATTTGCTACCCTGGATATCTTCTACAAGCGAAGTGCCATTAAATTGGAATTTTCAAGAGAGTGTATAGAAAAAGTGAGAGCTATCTAAATCAAGGAATCAGTAGGAGTATAATAAATGATGCAGAGCAGGGCTTTTGTTAGATAAGGCACTATTAACTGGTGAAGTTAAGTACATATATCTTGCTAGACAAGTAGCTCTTAAAAGAGCATATGTTATTAGAGTGGCAGATGAAGATGGATGGGGTGTAGCTGCAAAAATGACATTGGATAATGTTATGGATCTAATGTCAAAATTATTTAGTAGGAAGCATGAGCGGGCAAGAATAGCTATGCAGCTTTTCTCTAAAAGTAAGTGATCTAAATATTTTTCAGCAATGTATAGCTAGCAAAGACAAGCTTCAAACTCATATATGCTTATATTTGTATAACTGCAACCTTTTTTTCAGCCTAATTGGCAACAGATGTCTGTATTACAGGGCATGTCCTTTGAACCAGTAATGATGGGAAATCAATGAAATAAACTAGGCCCCCAAGATATATCTGGTTCTTGTTTTTGGAAACAGACAGCACAGAATCCTGCTCCGCAAAATCCTTGGGTAAATATGCAAAAGCGTCAACAAGCTTTTCAAAGTTTTCCTTCGTCTATGCATAGAAATATAAGTATACCTAGTAGGTTTGGAGCTCCAAGAGAAGTGGTGTGTTTTGTATGTGAGGGTAAGAAAAAGTAGTTTTATTACAGGGTATTCTTTTTTGGCTTAAGCTAGTCTCCTTGATTATTTTTAAAAGTAATGAGAGCTATGATTGGGAGTTGAAGAGCTTGAGGAATATATTGTGGGAACTATTTGGATAATATTTGGGTAGCCTATCCATTAAAAGTAATTTTATTGAAGTAGCAAGAAGAGTTAATAAGGAAAGATTTGAAAGACTGTGGATAGGTTTAAGCAAAAGAGAAAGGCAGTTGGGATCCAGTGCAAAATCTGAAGTTTTGTAGTCTAATTATCAACACTCTGGAAGGTCTAGTTATTGCTCTGGAAGAGAAAATAAACTTAATACTAGTATCTCTAGAAACTTTATTGGAGAGTCCAAAAATTTCTGTTCAAAAATTGACCTCAGTTGCTAACAAAATTTAGAGTTTAGCAAGAGTATTTGCTCCTGCTCATATAAAAAGTTTAGAGTTTTACAAGTTGATAGATACCAAAAATTGGTGGTGGAGCGAATAGGACAGAGATATAGAGTTGTTTATAAGTGCAATAGAGAATGTGCATTGGCTAATAGAAAATTTAAAAAGCTAGAACAGTTGTTCAGCTTGGAAACCTTCCAAAATAAAAACTGTTTATATGGATGCATCAATAATTGGTTGGTGTGGAGTTTACCAAAATTTGGTTGCTTTTGGGAGTTGGACGGAAAAGTTGTTAGCAAATGTAATTGCTCAACTTAAAGCAATAGCTGTATTGCAGGTTTTTTAGTCCTTTGGAGACCTGTTAAAAAGGCTCAATGATAATATTAATAATAGACAACAAAGTGGCTTTAAGAACAGTTCAAAAAGGAGAGTCTATGATGTGGCAGAAAGGTATTTCACAGGGAATATGGAATATCTGTATAAAAAAAAATATAAAAATCTTTCAAACTTATTAAGTTCTAAGCAAGGCAAATATAGTTGATATATTTACAAGAGTTTTGGATATGGGAGACTAGAAGTTAAGAACAGAAATAGTGAACCAGTTAGAAAATAATTAGGGCAAATTTGATATAGATCATTTTGCAAGTCACTTAAATGCAAAAATAAAGAGATTCAACAGTATGCATTTCTGTTCAGGCTTAGAGGCCGTAGATTGTTTTTTACAAGATTGGGTAGGAGTTATCAATTACCTGTGCTCACCTTTTACGATGATTCATTGTACAATTAGGACCCCGGACATCTCTGATATATGTCATATTTTTTTTCAGTGAATTGCCAAAAATTTGGTCAAAGGTCCAAAGTT